AGAGAGAGAGAGAGAGAGAGAGAGAGAGAGAGAGAGAGAGAGAGAGAGAGAGAGAGAGAAAGGTGTGTGTGTGTGTGAGTGTGTGTGTGTGTGTGTGTGTGTGTGTGTGTGTGCGCTGGGGAGCTGCGTGGGAGCGTGCGACGGTGCGGGAGCTGCTGCGCGGGGAGCTGAGCGCGCGCGCGCGCGCGAGAGAGAGAGAGAGAGAGAAAGAGAGGTGTGTGTGTGCACCGGGGAGGGGAGGCAGGACCCCTCCCCCACCAACCTTCCAATCAATCAATCAATCAATCAATCAATCAATCAATCAACCAACCAATCAATCAATCAATCAATCGATCAAAAAAACCAATCAATCAATTATTTTTTTCTTTTTTCTTTTTTTTTTAGTTAGTCATGAAAAACACCCTGCCCAAAAAACAAAAAAAATTATTTTTTTTGGGCGCAGTCTTGTAGGGGACGACGTGCGACGCCCGCGCGCGCCCCCAGTGGGCCGTGGCGCGGCCGCGCGGCCTAGGCCACGGGCCTGCGGCCTAGGCCGCGCGGCTCGGACTGGGCCGCAGGATCCGCAGCCCAGGGTGCCACATAGGTGGCGATTTTCTGTTGTTAAACCTCTCCTGGTCGGCGCACTGATCAGCCCCTCCTTACAGTAGGACGATCCACTCCAAGGGAGGATAGTCACTATCACCTAGGATATCCGTTATCAACGAGGATTTATTGATTGTTCGATTGATTGGCTGGTTGATCGATTGGTTGATGGATTGATTGACTGATCGTATGACTGTTAGATTGACTGACTGCTTGATTGAATGACTGATAGATTCAGTGACTCATTTGTTGATCTATTGATTGATTCATCGATCCATTCATTGGACGTATTTATTACGTGGTTGAGTGGGTTGCGGAGCTGCGGAAGGGAGAGAAAACAAAAAACACATTTCAGAAAACAATTATCAGAATCATTATTTATCAAACCCTTCGATGTGTCTCTTCTCGGACTATCACCCAAGACATTTAGATTCTTAGAATACATTGAACAAGAAATTGACTAGGAGAGAAATTTGAACCATAACCTGCCCAGACGGTTGTCGAAGGAGGGTGAAAGAAAGCGTTGGATAGGTTCAAAACACGCAATAAAGGTGATAGCGCAGTCTTCATAAATCGGAGATGAAGCAACCCTCCATTGCTCTTCAAATGTCTGACAAACAAGGGGAAAACTAAAAAAAAAAAAAAAAAAAAAAAAAAAAAAAAAATGCATGGAGTCGTCCAGCAATCGAACAACACGACTCTGCCACCCGAGTACTTCAACACCCCTCCCTCCAGTCCTGAACATCAGCATGCTCGTCCTCCACAAGAGATCAACGACCAAGCTAGTGCCATGGAGAGACTTCATGCATTCACTCGTGTTTCATGCACTCCACAAGTGCTTCATGCAAGGCCAGAGCCCGAGGCCGATTGAAGCTCTCCGCGATGGGGTGGTGTGGGTGGTCCAACACCAAGTTCACTCGCTGACGCACACCATTGGCGTTCACCTTCCACAACAGGTTGTCGTCGAAATCGATGCTGGCATCCAGGAGGATGTTGTGCAGAATGCACACGGCTTGGAACTGTTGCGGGAGAGTGTCCATATTTGTTTTATGTGTGCGGAGGAAAAGCCTCCACATCCCCTTCAGCCTTCTGAAAGCTCTCTCCACCGCTCCTCTGTCAACCTTCTCCTTGTTGTCAACCTCTCCTCGTCGGCGAATTGATCGGTCCCTCCAGAAGGCACCACAATCCACTCCATGGAAGGATAGTCGTTATCTCCAAGGATGTACCCGTGTGTCTTCACCCTGAACAGCGGCAGCACAACAGGTCCATGGAAAAGATCCCCATCTTCGGCGTGCGTCCACAGTCTAGAAAGCCGAAGCGCTCGGATGTCATGGCAGCTCCTGGGATAGCCAATGAAAATGTCTGTCACACTCAAGTCCAAGTCCACAACCACCTGCGCAACCACCAAGAAACGATGCTTCCAGTCGAAGTAGTTCTGCGAAAATGGTATTTCTGCAACTTTCCAGATATATTTGAGGCCATACAGGGGCGGACCGTCGAACTTGCTACAATACTTCTCCAAACAGGCATTTCTGCAATTTGCCCCTATCTCAAATGTATCTGACCGCATCTACCGCCGGAACATCATGCATCTGGCTGCAAATTCAGTCCAGAAATAAGTAAAGAAGTGTTTGTGCGAATATGCTCTTAGAGCAGCATGCAAGCACAACAGCCCCCAAAGCTCGGAGGGACATTTCGCAGCTGCTGATCTAATCAACATCAATGGTCTACACCCGGTCTGACTTGAAATGCGGGATAATCGGTAGAAGGCACCCACGCCAAAACCTTTTCGGTTTTGGCCGCCCAAAGTTTAGCCATTTGGTACTACCGGCCCAATGACTTGCATGTGGGGTACTACAGGCGCACGCGTCGCTCCAAGGGCCCTACCGGATCATGAATCTGGCGCATAAACAGCGCCAGATTCATTTTCATGTAAAAGAGGCCGGGCGTGGTAACGCTGAAGTGTCGAATGAGGCCCACGTAAGGGATTTTGAAAAAGAAGGGCCCTACCGGTTCATGAATCTGGCGCGGAAACACCACCAAATTCTTGAACCGGTGAAAACAGGCCCAAGGAGATGTGGCCACCGCGCGAAGGTGCCTTTCACCAAGGGGAACGTTGTTTGAGCCGGTTGTACCAAACGGCCGAACTTTGGGCGGCCAAAACCGAAAAGGTTTTGTGGTGGGCTCTTTCTACCAATTATCCCTTGAAATGCTATTCCCCCTACTATAGAATGTTCATATAGAACTGCACATGACGAACTAAACCCAAACTCTTGTCATATAAAACTAGCTGAAATCTCTATATTTTTTTTGTATACAGGAGAATGTGTAGAGAGAAAGAATGCGGCGCAAGTGGCGATCTTCCCTACCGGTAGCGGTGGATAGAAGCAGAATGGAAGCAATGAAGGATTTGTTTTGTTTTTTGGTCTTTTTTTCCCCAGATTTGGCGGTATCATCAGAGCCATTCCTACCGTCTTCACCCGAAAAGAACGCCCAGTAATAATTGTCGTATGTGCACTGAAAGTTGGACCAAATACAGCTATAATGACCGGGCGTTTTATTCGGATGAACAAGGTGGACGTTTCCGCTTCCTAGAGACTTCCAGTATTGCAAGATGAAAAATGACCCGGAAAAAAAAAAAAAAGGAGCAGAAACAAAAGGAGGAATAATCTGTGGAATAGATAAAATCCATGAGCATATACCTCTCTCGGCCTTTTGGCTAAAAATAGAGTTGGACACCACAGGACCGTGGAAAGGAAAAACTCTGCAGCAGATGTCCAGGGAAAGGTGAAATTTCTCCCGCAAACCGTTTTTCGGGACCCCACAGACCGAAGATTGGGGCTTGGAAAAACATAGTTTTCTGTTTTCGTATAGTCCGCAGCCTGGAAAGGTCTCACCGGAGGATTCCTCGCCACAACTTTGTGCCAACTCCAGAGGGTAGGGGAGAGGGCTTGTCCTTCCTGGAAAAGTCGCGGAAACGTCTCACAGGAGGCAGCAGCCAATAGTGACCAAGAGTGCCAGAAAAAAAAAGGAAAAACAAAGAAAACAAGAACAAAGCAAATGAGTGCAGACGGAGAAAGGCAACAATTGGCTCAACTGATTTCCAAAGGGTTTCCACAGCGCATTTGGTTCTCAGCGGTGGGGTCCCCGTACAACTGCTCTCCAGCTTTCCAAAAGTCTTTGCCCCTTTTTTTTGTCTGGACGGTTTTTCCATCCCTTCTTTTCTTTTTTTTTCTATAATCATTGTTCAGGGCCAAGTCCTCTACCCCTTGGGTGGTAAGAGCCCCAGACGGTAGAGGTCGGCATGGTTCCGATGGCTCCTTTCTATTGGTGGGGAGCTGCACGTGCTGGAAACCGGGCCCAGCGTCCCTTCCAATGAATAAAACATCAGGTAACTTGTCACAGATCAGAAAATCTCGGGGCTATCAGCCAAAAAGGGAGCTCTTAATAGGAAAAAAAAAAAAAAAAAAAAAGGGACCTCTTCACCCTAAGGCGCCTAAAATGAGTTAGCATCTAGTCCCACTACCACTGTACCAAGACATGTAACACCCAATTCTGAGGATCAATCAGTTCTGCAATTAGCTTGACAATGAAGACTAGTCCCTAGATAATGAGCAACATAACCTGAGCAAGCCTATCCTGTTGGAAACTGCCTTTGACTCTATCAATAACACTCCCTCAGCGAAGGTTCAATGATCTCGAAGGTTCACTGGTGACTCAATGATCTCTCTCTCTCTCTCTCTCTCTCTCTCTCTCTCTCTCTCTCTC